GCGACGACGGGCTACAAGACGTCGCCGACGAGCTCAACACGCGGAATCACAATGTCTCCAGGCACGTCTGGCCGTGGATCAAAGCGCAGGAGGCAGGGTTCTCGCATTGTGCTCTGAGAGCAAAGTACGAGTGCAAGTGGGTCGGCTTCTTCGACGTCGACGAGTTCTTCTACTTCCCTCACTACAGTGGCCAAACCCCCTTGCCAGGGCAGAACTCGCTCCGCGCCATGGTCTCGAACTACACCGATTCGCCCACGATCGCGGAGGTGAGGACAATGTGCCACAGCTTCGGCCCATCGGGGCTGACAGAACCGCCGAAGCAAGGTGTGACGGTAGGTTACGCTTGCAGGCTGCAGGCTCTTGAAAGGCACAAGTCCTTCGTCCGACCGGACCTTCTCGACATGACGCTGCTGAACATTGTGCATCACTTCAAGCTGAGGGAAGGGTACAAGTCGACGAACGTGGCGGAGGGGACGGCGGTGATCAACCAGTACAAGTACCATGTGTGGGACACTTTCAAGGCCAAGTTTTTCAGGAGGGTTTCGACCTATGTGACCAACTGGCAGGACGATCACATGTATTTGTGTTTACACATGTATTTGTGTTTACACATGTATTTGTGTTGTTTCATTTGTTGCATCGTATATATTTTAATTCCAGGTCATGTGAGGATCATGCTAGCCTAGACAGGGATGGTTCCGCCCATATATGATTATGGTACACCCGTCTTAATGGTCTATTTCGATGGCGGATAGGCAATGATGAGGGAGGTTTGCAGATTTTGACCTTTTTTTATAAGCTATTGTTTTGGTTGGTTATACCTCAATGTTTTGTTTAATTATTTCTTGACTCCTTTGTTCTCTCTTTGGAGTTACTCACCTTAATTTAGTGGAATCTCTTGGCAATTTTCTGATAATTGACTTGCTGCTCTTAAATGCACAAATTTGCAGGATGGCTTATGGCAATGCACCAGATGCTGCTCAGCTCAGGTTTTGATTATATCTTCCACCCTGCTATCAAAGTTGACCCTTGGCTTCCGAGATATTGAAGTCTCCTCTTTATGGTTTGGCTTTATTTCTTTCTATTTCCTGGCATGGTCCTCCAATTCTTGATTGTGGGTTTTAGTTCTCAAAATCAGGACTTGCTTTTCTTGCCATGATATGGCTTCAATGCATGAACCGCTTCTTTTGGTTGAGTTTTTGTTAGTGGTTTAAACAATTAGCATATTTTCTAAATGTAGGGTAATTTGGTGGGGGAGACTAATCAATTCTACATTTTCAGATACATTAGCCTACTTTCAATATGCAGTGTTTGTATGTATGATTCGAGAGTAGGGGTCTATGATCCATATGTCGTCTTTCAGGCCTGCACTTTCGGCTGATATATGTTTATCACTCCAACGAATGAAGCCTTACAAATTTATGGGGGGTGATGCTTACCCCGGGTGAGTTAGTCGGTGCATTTATGTCCTCTCCTCCCTACTGCTTTATTAGCCGTTTGTCTCACTTTTAGTCGTTCTGCTCTAGAAGGTGACCATTATATCATGTGTGATCTGATCAATTTCAATGGTTTTCATTCACGTGTTTACTTATTACTAGCTCTATTCCCACACTTCGAAGCGATTAGTTTGAGCCTACCAGTATATGATCCTATAAACTCATTTACAATTGAATTGTCAGTATAAGCTATTTTACTTGCATTATATAAAGCTTTGGAGTTTGGGACATTTTATTCTTAAAGCTTTTAGTCATTTTTGCTATATGGTTTCGATTTTTTATTTGGTTTAGATATTTATCCAGTTCGATCTGGCTTTCAAGTTGTACGAAATTAAGTTGTCTGAATCTATCACTTAAAAAAAAAGTTTGCTGAATCTATCTATTTTAGGAGTCAAAAGTTCTATTATCTACTTGAAAAATAACTCTCAAGGCGTGTGTCTATTTCTTTGTAATAATTTGGTTTGTTTTTCCTAATTATTTTCTCTATCATTGTTGACATGGCCTGCAATTTCTCATTAACAAAAAGGACTATGCATGGTTTTCGACTCCAAACATGCTTTGTAGTGTCTTCCCAGTTCCCACCGCTTCGACATTGGTGAAACACAAAGCTCCTTTGCTATATCACCAACAAAGATGTTTCATTATTATCAAAACTACGCTGGTACGTGCCTAGACTAATTGTTCTTTATCAATGCCCAGTTAGTAACTTTGTTCTAATATGCCTCTTAATTTTCAACAACGACAAGTTTATAGTTTGTTCTCATTCTGTTCAACTTATCTTCCACTATGCTTTCAGTATGCCTCCTTTCGTTGATGTTTTATATGTTCATATGACAAGAATCGTTACCTCATTTTCATCATTGATACAAGATCTCTTGAGTGATCTCTTGCTATTATTTCATAGTAGAACCTTTAAATATACCAAACCAATTTCAGTTACAGACAATCATGTCACCAATTTACCTGAGAAATTTTAATGGAAATCACTGTGGTTTTTCAGCCAAACACTTGCTGATTTTGGTTATTCCCCCGTTGTTACTATATTTGCACTTTAGACACCCAGTTGTAATCTTCGACGATTCCAACTTCGTGTGGATGTTAATTCCTCAATCATGACTTAGTAATGATGTAGTCTTTAACTGATAATTTACCCCTCTTTTGGGTACATATGCACCTATTTTTGTTCACAAATTTATTTTTAATTTCACAGCCAAGATAGTCAACTGGGGTCTGGGTGCATTTCCTAATTACAAATGCTTCCCATCACACCCAATTTTCCGCCACCGCCACCATCACTTCCAAGTTCCAACCATGGGCAAGATACAAAACTCAACATCTTCATTTCACCGGCCATGGCCAGATCAGAAACCAAATATGTTAAGAGTTAGATAGATAAATGATGGATGATGTGAGCGCTTGACCGAGAGCGGTGAATTGGTTGGGAAGTTGCCAAGTTTTTCGGCAATAAGGTGGTCAGCCACCCTGCCGATGAATCAAACCCCATAACGTAACATTTAATATAAATAGCCTTGATTCTGCTGATGTTTCTATTTTTAGAATGTGAATTGAAATGCTGCAGCAAAAGAAGGAGAAGGAAAGATCAATATTTTGGTGGGCTAGGGCTGGAACTGAAAGTTGCGATGAGTTTTGATGTGCACATATATTTTCTATTACTGAAACTGCTAGCCTTAGATATTTGTGAAAGCTCTCTTTGAGAACTCAGAGTTGTCTGCTTTATTCATCTAATTTGGGCTCAAACAATTGTGCTAACCTATAGTTTTTATTGTCGGGCCTCATTCTCTTTTCACTGATAAATTGCCTAATAACAAAATTAAATTGACCTACAGTGACTTTTGTTTTCCAGGTTCTTTCACCGTGTGTGGTAGCGAATATGAAATATAACCGGTAGCATTTTGTTCTTTTTTATATTCACTTTAGAAATTTTACATTTTTTTTTTGGAATTCAAGAGGTATGGATCCCTACATCGATAATAACAAATCTTATAAAGAAAAACAATTTAAGCAATTTATATTGAATGTAAAAAAGTATAAAATTTTCTTCTAAAATATAAAAAAATATAGATACCAGTAACTTAGGATGGCCACATCACCAGAACTAATTACTTACTAATATAAAATTCAAAAGTAACACAAATATTATTTTCCCTTTATGAATAAACTATTTAAAAGACTGTAAATTTTTTGAAAATATGCAAATTGGTTAATACAAAACAACAAAATATAATACAAAATTCATCCGACCAACGGGTCGGGTAAAAGCTAGTTTTCTAATGAATAGCAACAGAGAATTAAAGGAATTTGATTTTTTTATAGTAATTTATTTATTTATTTCGTTAACTATTTTTCTTTTCAAAATTATTGTATTTTCCCGTACAGTTTGAGTTTATAGAGAAGATTACCCAACATAACCACTACTACAATCTAATTTATTATACATATTTAATGGGAACTATGCACTTATTATTATTTTTGCCTAATTTCTATTTACAATATACATATATACTGGACTGATTTTTTCATCTCTGAGATATTCAACGATACTTAATATCATGTGTGGTTGATTATTTCAAGAAAATTGGATGAGTTACAAGAAAAACAATCATGTATATCCATATTTTTCAAGTGAGATGGAATTGGGATTTTCAAAAATGCTATACATTGTTTGATTAATTCTTCTCCATTGGTTTCATCTCCCCCTCCAATAACATCCATGGAATCTTATTCTAATTTTATACAATCTTAAAATCAAAGTTAATTAGGATCCGCCAATTGAAACAAAGAGGTTGTTGGTGCTCGGTTTATTGGCAACATGAATGAGTCGTAATCCTTGATCGGGTTTACACCATAGACCAGGAAACCAGATCGTACCGGCCGGTTCAACCGGAAATTGGACCAAAAGCGGTACGATGGGCTGATTGTGCTGATTTTACCGTGCCGGCCGGTTTTTCGGTTTGACCGGTTGAACCGGCCGGTACGATCCGGTTTCCTGGTCTATGATTCAGCTTCATTTCTCCGTATTCTCGTACAATATGTGGAAAATAATTAAAAAAGAATATTATTTTGCTATTTTTCTATGTTGAAAATGGGTCACCGTGGTTGTATAATGCTCTATTTGGTTCTTTTTTTGATGGATTATATTTTTTATACTATCGCATTTCATTTCTCTATCAATAGTGAAAAACGGTATTTACCGGTACAAAACGGTTGAACCACGGTCGTACCACAAAATACCATACCGGAAAGAAATCCGGTATGATGTCCGGTACGGTTTCCTTTACCATGGTTTACACACTTCATTGTTTCTTTACCCCAAACTTAACATTTTTCATTGTTCTCAAAGAGTATTATTCTATTTAATTATTGTTAATTAAATAACATTTGTAGGGCAAGGCTAATTACAGTGATGTGTAAGCTTAATTAAGTTAGTTAATTAGCATAAAACTTGACCAAATATACAAATCAGAATGACATTGAGCATGTATTCAGTACAAATGTACAATGTTGTTTGCATTAACTAGTACCATCTCATTGTCAAAAAAAAAAAACTAGTACCATCTCGATCCATGCGGCAATGCGCTCATGTGAAGCCCAAGCCTAATAATTCTATGGGCTAAACGAGGCCCACAGATCAGAATTCCAGAGAATGAAAAGCCCCAACTCATTGCTCACACTTGCAGTTGAAGAACGGCGGCAGTCCAACCGCTCAACTTCCCGGCCGCAACATTAGTGCCTCCTTCTCCGGCCTCCATAAAGGTCGTAGCTTTTCCATGTGGGCATCGCCGACGGGCAAGTTCAGTCTCTGCTCTGCTTGCGTCAGACTAGTCAAGTGGCCGAGACGACGACTCTACTTCACCGCTGCTGCTGCTGCTGCTCCGGCGCTTTCGAGTCCGACCTGGTCAAGCACAAACCCGGTTTATTTCAATCGAAATGAATCCGGTGTCGCCGCCGGCTATTCCATTCAGCTGGACTCCGATGGAGTTGTTCATTACCTGCAAAATGTCAGGCAAGACCCTATCCACGCACTTTCCTTCTTTAATCAACTCAGAACTGGCGGTTTCGTTCACGATGTCTACACTTACGCCGCCATGATTAGGATACTGTCGTTCTGGAATTTGGATAGAGAATTGAATTCTCTGCTCTCTGAGCTACTCATCCAGATGAAAGTTGGGCAGGTGAAGCCTAATTTCGAGGTTTTCGACTTGCTGGAGGCTTTGCCTGATTGTTCTGATTATTCGAATGTTGAGATTTTGCTGAAAGTTTGGGATGTTTTGGTTAATGTTCATGCTAAGCTTGGAATGTTTGATGGGGCAAGAGAGCTTCTCATCCTGGCCAAGAAATCAGGGATTACTAGGCCATGCAACTTGACATGTGAATTTCTCATGAACCGTTTGATTGAGTGTGGTGAGGTCGATTCTGCTCTGGCCATTTATATGGAGTTGGAGGACCGCATTGGATTGCAGCTTAATCATCATATTTATGGATTTATTGTTAAGGCATTCTGTGAAAAAGGTTGTTTGAAGGAAGCATTGGATGTTCTTCTGGAAATGGAGAAATGTGGGATGACTCCGAATGCTTTTACCTGCTCCACTTACATCCAAGGGTTGTGTAAGTATCATAGCTCCGATTCAGGTCATCAAGCGCTTCGATGTTTTTTAGAAGCTAAGGTTCCGGTTGATGAGTTTGCTTATTCAGCTGTGATTCGTGGGCTGTGCAGGGATGGGAATCTAGATGCTGCTGTAGATCTTCAAGAGGAGATGTTGTCCAGAGGGTTGAGAACGAATTCTGTGGTTGTTGGCTTGATTCTTCAGGGCTGTTGTCAAGCAGGTGAGTTCTCTAAAGTCGTGAGCTTGTTCAGGAGGTATAAGAATGCCGATGTTTACCTCGATAAGTTTTGCTACAATATGGTGATGAAGGGGTTTTGCAAGTTGGGGAAGGTGGAAGTGGCTGCTGCACTGCTGACCAAGATGAAAGTTAATCATGTGCATCCTGATGTCATTAACTATACAACTGTCTTTAGTGGTTACTGTGACGAAGGTAAACTTGACGAGGCCATGAAATTATTCGAAGAAATGAAGCGGAATGGGATTACCCCTGATGTCGTCCTTTATAATGTACTTGCTTCTGGTTTGGCCAGATTGGGTTTTACTCAAGAAGTGAAGTACTTGTTAAATTACATGAAGGACTCTGGTATTGAACCTAACAATGGGACATACAGTGTCATTATTGAAGGGCTAGCCACAGGAGGAAAGCTGGAAGATGCAGAAGCTTTTTTAGCCGCACTGGAAAACCCGAGCTTGGATATCTATTGTGGCATGGTTAATGCTTACTGTTCAGCAAAAAGGTCAGATAAGGCCTTTGCTCTTTTTATTTATCTGGTTGAAAAAGGGCACATACTGAGGAAACGTTCTTGCTTGAAGCTGCTTTCCAGTTTGGAACATGATATCAAGAAGTGTATTCAACTGGTTAAGAAGGTATTAGAGCTAAGGGCTAATTACTCGAATATTGTGTGCAGCAGAGTCATAAACATGCTTTTGCGTGCTGGAGAAATAAGAAAGGCCCTAGAATTATTCAATGAAATGAAGGCAAATGGGATTAACCCGGATGTGGTGACGTACACAACGATAATGAATCTGTATTGCAGTGTCGATCACTTGAAGGAGGCCGTCAATCTTTTCCATGATATGGAGGCCAAAGGGGTTGAACCAGATGTTATCACTTATTCAGTTTTACTGAAGGGGGAATTGAAGGAAATAAGGTGCAAGAGAAGTAGGAATAGGGAAATCAACAACAGCAATGCTGTAGTAGGACCTTTCTTGTATGGTAAACTAATGGATGTGGAGCCTGATCCTGTTATGTATACTGTTTTGATAGACGCACGCTGCAAAGAAAATGACATGAAGGGTGCTGTGAAATTTTTCAAAGAGATGATTGATAGAGGGCTACAACCCGACGCGACGGCATACACAGCTCTTCTATGTGGATACTTGCATGTTGGAGATGCAGCTGCGGCTGGCCTTGTTTGTAGATTGATGTTGGAAAATCAAATAGAGCCTGATGGCATTTTGGAGTCTGTGTTGGATCGTCATGGTAAATTTTTGCTAGACAGGAACTGTCTACAATGAATAGTATGCTTCAAGATTGTAAGTAGCGTGTAGAAAAGAGTTGACGAGATCAATTAACTGAGCCGATTGGATAAGAGATGGAGAGTGATTACCGCACTAGTAATTGTACTTACAGTAGAAAGGGTACATAGATACAAAGGGAGTTTACATTAGTTGGACTCTGTTTTCTGCCCTGCTTACAGTAATCGGACTTGTAACATTATGCACCCCATCCGACCAAGTAAGCTGCCCAAACACATACTCACTCCCTGCAGTTGCCTCGGGCTTCAATGTAATCTGGAAGCTCTTTTCCTCATTTGATTTCTCAAATTTCAATGTTTCCGGTTCAACCCCGATCGATATTCCCGTCGGTGCTCTGACTGTAGCAGTGTACGTACCTGGTGTTCCTACGTTCTTAAGGGTTCGAGTCAGCGTGATTTCTCCTGATAGCTCAGTGACCGTGATGGATGGGTAGTTGATACTCGATAGACTTGTGTTGCTCTTTGCTGGGCATTGGTACGACTTGTCATAGAACATCGAGATTTGTGTAGAACTGTAGCCAATGTAGCACAAGAAGTTGAGGTGATCTGTGAGATTCAAATCATACACCAAGCCTGGATCCATTGCTTTGTTGGGTTGGACATGTCCCGCTCCGTAGTTGAAGGGGGTTGCATTGCTTCCTGATGATGTCAGGATTGCCTCTCCCTTGTTGCTTGTTGTTGTAGCTGAGAAAATCAACAGTCGAGATTTGTTCAGAAGGTTTCTTTCTGTTAGGAGTTTGTATAAAAGAAGTAGGTACTGGTACCGGTGGTCATAATTGCTGATCTGATTGCAGCAGGACTCCAGTCAGGGTGGATGGTCTTCAGAAGCCCTGCAATGCCAGTAACGTGGGGGCACGACATGGATGTTCCTGATATGATGTTGAAAGGGAGACGACGATTGTCTCCACCACCAGTTGGCCCGACTGATTCTGTGTATGCAGCTAGTATGTACATTCCAGGCGCCGTTATATCAGGCTGTGAGTTCCATCAACAAGGTTTTCATTGTTAGGATCTTTCTGAACTGTAATCAATCTTCTGAGATGCTACTTATCAGAGACGAGGATAAACAAACCTTCAGGATCTCTGAAGTGAGTCTGTTGGGTCCAACAGATGAAAAGGAAGCCATGACAGGTGCTACTACTTCACCAATTTCAGTTTCACCACTTAGATAAGCTTCAGGAGACCTGAAAGGAATCCCCTGAGACTGGTTATCCCAAAAATCACAACTACAGTCTACAGATTTCGTGTGTTATTTTTGTCAAAACTAACTTACTGCGTGGTGGATATGTAGGATGCAATGGAATCACTATCTTGTTTGGAGACCATTGAAGTAGGCACGAAGTGAGCTTGAGGAGAAATGGAAGTGGAGAATGAGTTTGCTAGAATCACTCCAACCCCTCCGGCTTGAGAAATCCCCTGGCTCTTCTCCACGTCCGAGCCACCGCGCATGCAGAACACAACCTTGCCTTTCACTTTGCTCGAGTCGAGTGCCTCAGGGAAGCAATACTTTCTGTGTATTTCAAACGTAAGTCCATATGATATGATTGTTAGAATTTCTAATACGACCCCTCTTCTGACGTGAATGATCATCAAATGTATCTTACGCGTCGCTGTCGTCAGCATCTGCAGACTTGGCATCCACCCCACGGATTAGTGGATACAACTGTTTAGCCGGTGAGGTGTTGGTATGGAAGCTGAAGCCCTAATTAATCAAGAAGAAACTGACTGTTTAGACTTGTACGTTACAAGTCTCAACACCGTACGTAAACGATAATTGAATTGAAACAGGGGAGTAACCTTGTATTGCTCCCCGTTCCCAAGCGTGACACTGGACACAAACCTCCGATCAACCGTACTAGCTCCCACCGTCAAGATCCACGGCGCCACATTCGTCACGGTCGAAGCATACGGTCCAGAGTTCCCCGCCGAGCACACGACGGTGATCCCATTCCTCACTGCGTGGAACGCACCGATGGCAATGCTGTCGGAGCTGTACTCCCTAGCCCCGCTGCTCCCAAGGGAAAGCGAGAGTATATCTACTCCATCTTGAATCGCAGCGTCGAACGCAGCTGTTATATCCGCGGCGTAGCAGCTCGGCCAGCAGACCTTGTAGGTGGCGAGCCTGGCCTTGGGGGAGCCGCCTTTGGCCGTGCCATTGGCCGATCCGAGTAAGTTGGCGTTAGGGACGAAGCAGCCGCCCGCCGTGGAGAGGGTGTGTGAGCCGTGGCCCGCTTCGTCTCGTGCTGAGGCAGTTATCGAGGCGTCGGCAGCAGCGGTGAGGTTGGGTACTAATCGCCCTGTTGTTGCTGCTGCGGCCGAGAAGCCCTTGTTGAAGTATTTTGCTCCGATGAGCTTCCTGTGCATGCAATGCATGAAGGCAGGAAGATGGGAAAGTTACAATCTGATGCCTATAGTTTTTTCACAGTGCCAACTTTGAAGTTATTGAAAGGGAAAATAATTACTTACTTGTTGCATTTGAATCCATCACTGGTATCACAGCTACCTTTCCACCTGGATGGAATGTCACCCATGGTGTCGCTGCAGGCAAAGCTTGGTGATTCTGGCCACACCCCTGCAGTGAATATATTCAATCAAATTACCACCCATTAAAGGTAAATAATTGCCCCTCCCTTTAGGTTTCATAAACAAGCAAAAGGGCCAAAAGGGAAAATAGTTAAACATGTCTCCGTCTAGGATTCTTCATGTATGTCACATTTGAGCAGCACAAGCAACACTAGACTTTGCTTGCAAAGTCACACCAATAGTGATTCAACTGTAACAATCATAGATGTACAGCCATTTTCATAATTCAGTTGCTTGTGTTAAATGTATTGAGATGTGTAGTAGAAGCAACACTCTAATACATCATATTATTATATATGAGTATTAATAACCACCAAATTTAGCTAAATATCACCTAATCAACAAATTTAATATATATACCTGTGTCTAGATTGCCGATGATGGCATCTTCACCGAACCTTGCTTTCTTCCAAATCGAATCGTCTGGGACATTCCCGCCGCTTTCCTCGAGACCCATGAATTCCCAAGTCCTTGTGGTTTGCAGCTCGTACTCGTCATTCGGAGACACCAACACAACCTCAGGGTGGCCTGATCAGTAGTAAAAAGTTAACAACACAAACGAAACTACTAGTGACTGTGGTAGGTTATAAGGGTAAATATGGGTTTTGAGGATGTACTTGAAAGCTGTTCAACTTGTTCATCTTCAAGAATTGCTGCAAAGCCATTGATGTGGCTGGAATATGAATAGAATATGGCTTGCTTTGCCTTCTCCTTGCTGCATTGCATATATAAGGAAAAACCAAATATAGGTTCTTTCACGTGATCAAATATGCAAACCTCCAAATCCCAATTTCAGGTAGAGATTGAGATGCTTAATCACCTTTTCATGCAAGAAGCCAGCAACTTGTGGTAGGTCCTGCTCATCTCAACACCATTCAGAACCGTTCCCTTGGATACTCCATGGGAATTCCTCCCAAGGTACACCACATAAGACTGTACGTACATCAACCAGTTACAAGGTAAACTAAGTGTCATCCTCCAACATAATGAAAAAACAGAGAAGACACCTATGAAACCAATTAATCGATATGTCACTGTTCTAAGTATCCAACCTTTCTGGCAGCTAGTGCACAAGGGGTCTGAAATGACAGCAGCAGCAGCACCAGAACGGAAGGGAAAACAGTAACAGCAGTCTTCATATTTGCTAAGGCTCTGTATCTTAGTTATGATCGATCAGCCTCACAAATGTATATATAAGATGAAAACCCCTTTCTTTCTGCATTATTGCGTGCCGTGTGCCTGTGTTATAGCCTTAGGCTGGATTATTATTGATTTTGGCCTACTGGGAAACTAACTTGGCATGTAGAGTTGCCAACGCTTCCTTCTGTGGAGATCTTCTCGATCCAGAACTAATAATACAGTACCGCACACAAACTCCATCTCCATCTTTTGCCCTGCAGAAACTTCATTTCTTCAATGATTATTATAGTACCACTCCTCTGCCACGTAGGTATTATTATTATGTTATTATTTGTAATGGATTTATGCGTACACATTTCTACTATGTAAAGTTGATTACAATTGTTTCCTTCCTTAGCTTGGGGTGCATGCCTGGAAATAGCAAAAACGAGGCTGCCCAATTTGTTTGGAATTCCTTCTGCTCCTTTCATTATAGCATTCCCCATCACAGAAATCCCAATGTGGAATCAAAGTTTGGCAGATAGAATCAAAGATCATTTGCTATCTTTGGCTTCGTGTAGTGACACTAACAAACACACGAAACTATCACCATTATACATAGTTTAGGCACACGCCACGCAATGCAGGGGATAGAAAAAAGCAAAGCGAAGCAATAAACCATACGACCAATACAAAGATATTTCGAAACACATGAAAGAAGAGTAAGCGTGTGAAAATCCTAGGCTATGATTATTACCTCTATCTGTTTCCACAAGCTATATCTTCTTGTTCATTCTCTTGTCTTCAATATATATATAGACAGCCCCCTAGCTATTCCATTATTATTTTATTCAAACATGTTTTGAAAAGAACTCATTTGATCACAAGTTTGTAGTAGTTACTTACACATAAGTACAAAGTTGATAAAGAAAAAGAGTCAAAGAAATGACAACTTCCACTACTTCATTTCTGCTGCTGCTGCAAATCTTCTGGCTGTGTCTCATGACTCCTCCTTCTGTATCAGCTGCCAAGAAGGCAAGCCAAGCCCCCCACCAATTTAGATCTTCCTTTATTCATTTCTTGTGCTTCTTTTTACTTGGTGGTTTTCTGATATGGAATCTTTCTCTTTTGGGACATGCAGTCATATGTGGTCTACCTTGAGAGGGATTCCCATCATGAGACCAACAAACATGTTTTGGGTTCTGATCAAATGAGACAAACTTATCATGGCCTGCTGGGTTCTTGCCTCCTAAGGTAAATTAGCATTCTTATGTCACACTTCAATCAAGGATTAGATAAAGTTCTGAACTAATAATATTATACGTTTTAATCCTAACACAGCCAGGAGAGGGCTAAAGAAGCCATATTCTACTCATACTCCAGCATCATCAATGGGTTTGCGGCTGTGCTTGAAGATGATGAAGCAGAGATGCTCTCCGGTATATATGGAATATTGTGATGAATTTCATTCCCAGTTCATAGCTCATCGCTCATGTCAAGAACACAATGACTTTCACCTACTTAGATTCAAGTTTGATTACATGTTTGGTTAGGTCACCCTGGAGTGGTATCAGTGCTCCCAGATAAAGTGAATCAGCTGCATACCACAAGGAGTTGGGAGTTCATGGGGCTAGAGGATAGCAATGGAGGGATACCATCGGAGTCCATCTGGAAAGCTGCAAATTTTGGTGAAGATGTTATTATTGCCAACCTTGATACAGGCAAGAACATTATCCTCTCTCTAATTTTTTTTAATCTCTTGTTGTAGTTTCTTGAGTCTCAAGCTATGTGGGTTTTATTGCTTGAACATGTGAGAATAAGACTATTGAAAAGTCTGTGCAACCACTTTCTTATTGACTTTCTGATCACAGTTAGTACCATATCCCAGAAACTCATTTGCTTTCTGTCGCAGTTCTTACTTCAGACCACAAACAGGATTTTCATGTATGGTGTTTGATGGATGAATGCAGGGGTGTGGCCTGAATCTCCAAGCTTTAACTGTACTGTATCAGAGACCATCCCATCTAGGTGGAAAGGACAATGTGACTCCAGCAGTGGATTCAAATGCAACAGGTTTGGGTTTCTTTCTCCTTAGTGGTACAATATATTAGTAGACAAACACTTGCACGTCAACATCTATCCATTTCTTTTAAGCAGGAAGCTAATTGGAGCAAGATACTTCAACCAGGGTGCCTCTGCTGTAAACAAACTACAAGCAGCAGACAGCTCTGCCATGGACACAGATGGGCATGGCAGCCACACCCTTTCCACTGCAGCTGGCTGCCTTGTCCCAGGGGCTAACTTCCTGGGATCAGCTAATGGAACAGCCAAAGGAGGATCCCCTAAAGCATGGGTTGCCACATACAAAGTCTGTTATGGGGGCTGCTATGATGCTGACATATTGGCTGGATTCGACGCCGCGATTCAGGATGGAGTCGACATTATCTCCCTCTCACTTGGATCCTTCTCTCCTGTAGCGTATTCCTCGGACAGCATTGCAATTGGATCTTTTCATGCTGTGAAGAATGGGGTAACTGTGGTCGCTTCAGCTGGGAATTCTGGCCCATATGCCTCATCTGTTGTCAATGTGGCACCTTGGATGTTAACCGTTGCAGCTAGCTCAGTGGATAGGCAATTCGAGTCCGATGTGATCCTTGGGAACGGACAAAAAATCAAGGTTTCTGTTACTACAAATCTTTAACACTAACATGATCTTCCATACTAAATTTGCTAAGAATCAAAGGTATAGGGACCTTTAGTGTTCAAGTAGTTTAGCCAAAATTAACCAATATGCCCCTTCTTGTTGCCCTCTTTCAGGGAATCAGCTTCAATACTGATACTTTACCACCTGGGAACCTTTACCCTCTGATCAATGCAGTGGATGCCAAATCCTCTGATGCTGATCCCAGTGACGCGTTAGTAAACAAACCATTTCATCATCACCCAATATATAAACTTTGTAGTTATCCTGATCTCCAGAACTGATATTTCATTTTAACTTGAAATGATTTTTGGCTATTGCAGAAAATACTGCTATTCGAGTACACTTGAACCAAGCAAAGTGAAGGGGAAGATTGTGGTCTGCATTAGCAGCAGTGATGATGTGGAGAAGAGCTTAGAAGTGTCACAAGCTGGAGGAGTTGGGGTGGTTCTTGTTAATTCATACTCAGACTCACCAACTCCAAAGGCTCACTATCTCCCTACTTCCATGGTTTCCAAGAAAGATGGGGATTCTATATTGGCTTATATGTCTCAGACAGAGTAAGTAACTCCATTCGGCCTACCTTGCAATACAAGGCATTGCCCTGCCCCAGTGTTTTTCATACATAATGAAATATCTGGTTCAGGTCCCCTACGGCTTATATAAGTGGTGATACTGTAGTTGGTGAGACAGTAGTAGCACCAGCCATGGCTTCGTTTTCATCAACTGGACCTAATGGTCTCACTCCGGAGATTTTAAAGGTGCACGATTGCTTAATGCGATGTTTGAAAAGATGTACACACACAAATATGTAGTGTTTATACTCTTGTGGTTGAAAAATGTTTGCAGCCAGATGTAACAGCACCTGGACTCTACATTCTAGCAGCATATTCAGAAGCAACTGGGGCTACTAGTGATTCAGACAAGCGGCATTTGCCCTTCAACATCATCTCTGGCACCTCAATGTCTTGCCCTCATGTCTCTGGCATTGCTGGTCTGGTCAAAAGCATCCATCCTGAATGGAGCCCTGCTGCCATCAAGTCAGCAATCATGACCACTGGTAAATCCTTGTATTTCACCTTTGGATCATACCTCAGTCTGTAAATCGATCAAGAATGCCTTGGCTCTATCTCTCTCTGTTTAAGGACATAGTAAGGGTTATAAAACAGCTCACCTCCTCAACCACTAATGACTGTGGTACCAATCAAAATAGCTCAAAAGTCAACCCTGAGAAAGCAAACAACAATGTCCAATTTCTTTTCCAGGTTTCACAAAGAGTAACAAGGGAGAAAAAATCCAGACATCAATGGGATCTGAGGCAAACCCTTTCAACTACGGATCAGGACACGTGTCGCCCAACAAGGCACAAGATCCCGGATTGGTCTACGACATGACAATAACGGACCACTTGAACTTCCTATGCTACATTGGCTACGACGATAAACAACTAGCCAAGTTCTACGATGATAAGTCGTACCAATGCCCTAACAAAACAGCCGCAAGTTTGTGGGACATCAACTATCCGTCCATCACCATTCCCGAGCTACGAGGTGGAGCTGTCACGGTGAGTCGAACGTTGAAGAACGTGGGCACCCCAGGCGTGTACAAGGCTTCCGTGGGTGAACCAACCGGGATTTCGGTCAAAGTCGAGCCTGCTAGCTTGGAGTTCAAAGAGGTGAATGAAGAGAAGAGCTTCAAGATTACATTGCAAAGTTTAGGGAAAGATGTTGGGAGTGATGATTATGTGTTTGGGGAGCTGACTTGGTCAGATGGAGTACACAGCGTCAGGAGTCCAATTGTTGTGAAGATGGCAGAGAGTGGAGTCCAAACTGCCTAATGTGTAGTAAGACTAAGATTTGTGTTGGCAAGGAAGAATAATACAAAAAGAGCCCATTTGGAAGTTCATTAATTATTCTCTTAATTACTGCCGAACTAAATTCTAATTAAGTCGTTGACCTTCACCCAACATCAACAGCTAGAACTGATGTATAATAGAAAGCTATATGTTTGCTTATTCCACGCAATTAAGTTGGTGATATCAGATCAGTACCAACTATCATCTAAGAGAATGAGATGCCTTTTCCTGGTGGGTTACTCCCTCTGGCTCTGATGATGAAGTCTATCTGTATGTGTCGTAATTAATCTACGTACGTACATGATCCATTTCTCACGCCGCCTAGCTAGTTACCTAAATAAGGAAGAATTCAGCTGCACATATATACTCAAGTCAGTTGATGAAGCTAATTAACAAAGTATAATGATCACAATGAAGAAGTTTAGTCGTCTTTGCTGTTTGGTGGGTTTGTTTTCCTTGTGTATCATCAACTCTGCACTGGCTGCGGACAAGGTACTTGGTTCTGTTTCATGTTCCCTTAATTTCTTTCTGTAGCGTTGTTTGTCTGGAAAGTGGGATAGATTAATTATTGATGAACATGGTGGCTGATCTTGTCTAATTAAGTTGTTAATAACAGTCGTATGTTGTCTACCTGAGATTCGGTCTGGCTGCGGTAGCGCCGATGGCAATGGTATGTTCTCGACGACAATGGTGTTGTGGTGAATTACAAAATTGAACGAAGGGTAAAAATAACATTTCCATCAAAATTATGGACGGCATATAGTAAAAACACGAGCGACAAAGAACATGCCTCTAAATATACAGAGAAGGCTCGGAAAGGGCGGATTAGCATGCTAACCCTTAAGGGGTTGGTTTTTTGACACCCCCCTTTAATTGGTCAATTTTTCATTAATTATTGACAAGTATTAATGAAAGTAAACATAATAATTGTTCTGTTATTAAATACAAAGTAAGCATTAAATACACCACATTAATTACCACTTTACTGGTATTTGTACCACTGCACTGATACTCAGATATGACATTGCTACCAGTGCACTGATATCGCTACCAGTGCAGTGGTATATCTACCAGTACAGTGGTACAACGTATCAGTGCAGTGGTATATCTACCAGTACAGTGGTACACCGTATCAGTGCAGTAGTATATTTTTTGGAGGTGGTCGGAGGGAGTCTGCCGATGGGATTTTCACCGGAGAAGTGTGGCGGTCGGAGGAAGTCTGGTGGTCGGAGACTGCTGAAAAAGGAAAAATCAAATATAGTGAGAGAATTCCTAATGTGTATTTAATGTGTGTATTTAATTCCTAATGTGTATTTAATAGTGAGAGAATTCCTAATTAATATGGTACATTTAATTCCTAATGTGTATTTAATGTGTGTATTTAATGTGTGTATTAAATTCTATAGTTGTATTTAATATATTAGGGGTGTCACCCCGCTCGGAAACCATCCCGAACTATTCTGCTCAGAATCCGAATCCAATTCGGTCACTAGAGGTATGCATTCCGCTAACGAGTTTTCTTATCTTATTGGGTTTCTCTCTCCCCTCAAGCTCTCTCTGTGGCCAGTCCTCCGCTTTCGGAGCTGGCGTCGAAGTGTTCAGAATTTGTTCAATCAGCTGAAATTTTCGATCTTTCTTCTGACCTTTCCCCTCTGGTTATTGTTTTTTGTTTGTGTCAGAAGGTTTGAGATTTGGATCATCAACGCCATTCTCTGCAACTCTGTCTTCATAACAGTCCGCTAAGGTCTTAGCTTCGTTGCTTCTTCTTTAGAGATGCCGGTGCCGGAGTCAATAATACTAACGAAGAGGAAGGCGAAGGTCACCCGAGCTGCTTCTCCTTCCCCAAGCAATCTCAAGCTCTTGCAGAGAAAGAGAAAGGCCATCCGCTCTGCTTGGCCGTCCCAGCAAAGGGCGGGCCTTTTGAAGAGTCAGAGGAAGGTGTTGTTTTAGATTTATTACTTCTTCTCTCCTCTCTTTGTTACAGGTTTTTTAATATTTGTTGTTAGTTTAACGGAAATTGAACTTGTATCATATCTGTAGTTCAATCTGGTGCACGAAGCGAACTGGTCTTAATCTACTAAGTTACATCATTCACTGCAAGAACTTCGTTGTCAATTCACCTCAGCTACAATATTATTCTCTGGCTACTTTGGTGTTTCTTGCTCTGCTGTGCTTGGCACAATTTTAATTTGTCTTTTGGACGGATTAGATTGAAAGAACTAGTTACAGTGGTTGTTTTTGGGTTTTGCAGGGAGGCTACAGTAAATTGGATTGCTATAATCCTGACGATCGGATCAGTCAGCTGCAAGAGGAAATACTCTTGCTTATATTGTCTTTCCTTACAATCCAGGAAGCAGCTGTTACTAGTCTCCTTTCCACTAGATGGAGGTACTTGTGGGCATCTGTTCCTCGTCTAGACTTCAATGCCTCATTCTTCCCAATTGAATTAGAGTATCTACTACCTGTCCACTTAACGCACAAATATGTTAGACGTGTTGGTAAGGTAGTTCGATTGTACAAAGGCAACAGTTTGGAGGAGCTCAGACTTCAGTTTGGCCTAACTATGAAGCATAAGCGTTTTATTGATTGGTGTGTCAAGTTTGCTTTATCTAAGCAAGTTAAGAAGCTGGAGTTGAACTTCAATTTACCTTTTGAAAGATCCAACAACTCTAATAAGAAAAAGTTGTATACTTTCGGAGTACGGGCAGTGGACCAAGCTACTCCTCATGGTTCACCAACACGAGTTTGCAGGTGGTCATCTTGTTATTTTAAGTCACTCACTTCTCTATGTTTGAGATCTGTCAGTCTTAGTGGTGATGTTCTGGACGGTCTGCTGTTAAATTGTCCAGTTCTTGAAATGCTAACTCTGCAGCATGTGGATGACTTGGAGTATGTAAAAGTTGTTGGTCCATCCTTGAGGTTGAAGCATTTGGACATAGAAAAATGTTTTGGATTGAAGAAAATCGAGTTGTATGATGCATCAATAGTTTCATTCAAGCGATTGCAGTGTGAAGGGCATCTCTTCATGAGGAACCTTCCATGCTTGATCGACCTATCTTTAACAACCTGGTCGAAGTTGACAAATGAGCTTCATGCGTTCTCTTCCTATCTTGGCCAGCTGCAGCGTTTGAGGATACTTGTTTATCATATACTCATGGTTAGTGTTCCAGTTGGTTCCTAGCTTGATTTTTCTTTTCTTTCTTGTTTCAGTTTTCAATTGGGACCTTGACTGACATTATTATTTCCTGCAGAGTGATGAGGAGATTCAACCAATCTATAAATTAAGTAATCTCCGAGAATTGGAAATAGCACATAGTGTGGAGCTGGATGGTGATCTTCTTAGACTTCTACCTCTGATTGATTCATCTCCTTACTTGGAAAAGATTGTAATACGGGTTAGATTCTACACTCTGATCTTTAGAAGTTTTCCCCTTTTTTATTAGGATTGTCTCTTACCTTTAATTTGAGATATTTCTGAACATTTTTTAGTTAATCTGCCATGTGGAGTATGATCTTTAAGGTTCTTTCATTTCAATTGTCTGTTTCTTTGAGGAACTGATTTGATGCACCATTTCTATGATGAGTTGGAGACGAGACTCTGAACATTAGGCATTATGCATTAGATTATTGTTTGGCAACTCTTACTTATACATTTGATGTTAAGGAGAATGCAACAAGCTAGTTTCATTTGCCAAGGATGACTGTATGGTAGTCCAGTTGTATATAAAATGCATGTAACCATCAATCTCATGAGTGTGAGGATAGGGCATCTGCATGCTTGCAGAACAGATCCTATTGAAGTTATGTTATAGTTATGAATATTGATCGCTGGTTAAGAAAATTGATTGATGTGCAGATTCTCAACAGAAGCACATTGGAAGAACGAACAAGTAGGAAGTTTAGGAAGGTTGAGACTTGTGTTGGCCTTGAGCACCTGAAGGTATTCAAATTGGCAGGATATCGCGGCTGTGCAAATGAGGATGAGTGTATCTCTTGTATCGTAGAAAATGCCACAGGACTTGAGACAATCATTATCGACCTGAATTATCAACCTAATTTTCCGGATGTGGATGCTTGTTATGGAAGACCAAGGGAGATTGACAAGATCGAAAATTATGTGAGGCAGCATGCTAAGAAGTGGCTTGAAGAGATCATACCTCCCAGAATTCAGTTGATCATCACCTAATGATTCAAATTAATCATAGCACAACTTAGATCAGTCAAGTTAATTATGTTGTGCCTTATGTTATTTGTTTATTGTTATGTGCTCAAATAATGGACTTATGTATAACAAAATTGCTGTTGTGAAATGTGTTATGGTACTAGTTCAAGGACTACTCTGTAATAGCCTTAGAGCATTGTATACTACTGTTGTAGTCTATGGTTTGGTTTATTAAACATAGGTGGCTACTTCGGTACACTCACTTTTTTGGATGCACTGTTTAAAAGTGTCCATAATACATCAAATTTTGAACTTTAATTGGTACTCTCAATCTAATATGATGATATGACATAGAATCATAACAAATCAATCTATTACCCTAACCCCTTAACCTTCAATAATGACTTCATGTTCTCGGAACCACAACGAGAAGTTACCTTGTATAATCTTATGTATAACCAAAAGCTTTCATAAATTTGTTCAAGAACACTCTTAATCTACTGCTTCCTTATACATTCATCAGTAGTTGATATCGCTCTTTTCTGAGTTCCAGTCAGCAGTAGCTTCCTCGTGGAAAGTAGCATCTCCACAGAAAACAGTTGTGCAATTTCATATGAATAGGTGGTCTCTGATTGTTCAGTCAGTGTCCTAATAGATGAGATGTTGATGCTACCTGGTACCTGCAGCAACTTTGCAGTTGCTTCATCTTTAGCCTCATAACTTAAACTTCAATGCTCTGTCACCTATATAATATTTTGTGAGCTAAAATCAACCACTTACAAGTCAATATGGCCACAACTACATGAAATAGCACCGAGACTCCTAATCTGCTTCTTACATCAACCTAGAGCACAAGGCTGAATACGAGTACTGGTTGAAGCTATTACAGAGAAGTCTATTTATTACTCGCACAGGACAGGATGATTCATATCTCAATGCATTGCTGGATGCGTTTCTACAAGCAAGTAGGAAACACAAATGGTTCGCTCTTTGGTTTGTTGTTGACTCTATCCTTCCAGATCCAGTACACTTCTCTCCCAGACCAGTAGCAGGGAAGTAAATAGTACCTGTTTGAATTTAAAGAAAAGACAGATGGGATTTCGGTAAATAGAAAGAGTTGAAGCACTTGTCAGATTAATTCCTCAAATGCCAGGGGCTACACGGTTAATTTTATTAAATACAAAAACCAATGGCCAAGTACAAAACTGGTTTGAGTACGTAGAAGTTCTTCTACATTCACATTCAGCGTTTCAAAGTAGGTTGAAGCCTGGAACTGAATCCGCCGAGGACAAGGGAATGAATAATCGATAGCCGGAAGGATATAAAGGGGCGCCTCGGAAACCACCACGAAGTCTTCTGCTCAGAATCCGAATCTAATTCGAACAGAAGAGGTATGCGTTCAGCCATGAGTTTTCTTATCTTGATGGTTTTCTCTCACGCCCCAACCACTCTCCCTGACCGGTCCTTCGCAGGCGTGAAAGGGTTCATAATTTTTTCTATCAGCTGAAAGTTTGGATCTTTTGGTGGGTTAGCTTCGTTCTGACTTTGTCTCTCTGTTTTTTTTTTTATGGCAGAAGGTTCGGGAGTTGGATCTTCAACTCCATTCTCTGCAACTCTCTGTTCTCCTAACAGTCAGTCCACCGAAGGACCTAACTTTATTGCTTATTCTTTTGGGATGCGGAGCTCAATAATACTATCCAAGAGGAAGAGAAAGGTCCCCGGTTCTGCTTCTACTTCCACACACAGTGTCAAGTTTGCCAAGAGAAATAGAAATGTCATCGGCTCTGATTCTTCTTCCCAGCAAAGTGTGGACCTTTTGAAGATACAGAGAAAGGTGTTGCTCTATCTTTATTGATTCTTCTCTTGTCTCTGTAATTCAGTTTTCTATTATTTATATAATGTTTGACTTAATGGAAATTGAACTTGGAGTAGATTTGTAGTTCAATCTGATGCATGAAGAACATTAGTCGTAATCTACTAAGTTACTTCATTCTCTGGCTACTTTGCTGTTTCCTACTCTGCTGTGCTTTGCATAAATTTATTTGTCTTTTGGACAGATCAGATCGAGAGAATAGTTTAGTCAGCGATTTTTGGGTTTTGCAGGGAGGGTCCAGTAATTTGGGTTGCTATAATCCAGATGATCGAATCAGTGCGCTGCCGGATGAAGTCATCCTTCTTATATTGTCTTTCCTAACGATCCATGAAAGTGCTGTTACTAGTTTCCTTTCTACTCGATGGAGGTACTTGTGGGCGTCTGTTCCTCGTCTAGACTTCAATGCATTATTCTTCCCAGTTAGGTTACGTAATCACTTACCAGTACGCTTAACATACAAATATGTAAGACGTGTTAGTAAGGTAGTGCGATTGTACAAAGGCAACAGCTTGGAGGAGTTCAGACTTCAGCTTGGATTGTCCAAGAAGCATAAGCGTTTTGTTGATTGGTGTGTCAAATTTGCTTTATCTAAGCAAGTCAAGAAGCTGGAGTTGAACTTCAATGGTCCACATGAAGTATGTAATAGCAACGCGTATCATAAACAGTTGTATACTTTTGGAGTAAGAGCTCTGAACCAGTCTACACCTCATGGTTCATCGACTCCAGTTTACAGGTGGTCACTCCGTCAGTTTAAGTCGCTCACCTCTCTATGTTTGAGATCTGTCAGTATGTGTGGGGATGTTCTAGATGGTATTCTGGTAAATTGTCCGGTTCTTGAAATACTGACACTACAGCACGTGGATGACTTGGAGTATGTAAGAGTTGTTGGTCCATCCTTGAGGTTGAAGCATTTGGCGATAGAGCACTGCGAAGAGTTGACAAAAATCGAGTTGTATGATGCTTCAATAGTTTCATTCAAGCGGTTTTCGTTTGCAGGGGATCTTTTCATGAGGAACCTTCCACACTTGGTTGAGCTTTCTTTATCAACCTTTTTGAAGTTGGCAAATGAGTTTCATGCGTTCTCTTCATATCTTGGCCAGCTGGAGTGTTTGAGTATAATTGCTTATCGTATACGTCTGGTTAGTGTTTCAACTGGTTTCTAGTTTGATTTGGCTTTCTTGTTTCAGTTTTGAATTGGGACCTAAGCTCAGATGATTTTCTGCAGAATGATGAGGAGATTCAACCAATCTACAAATTAAGTAATCTCCTAGAATTGGAAATAGCACATACTGTGGGGCTGAATGATGATCTTCTTATGCTATTGCCAATTATTGAAGGATCCCCTTACTTGCGAAAGATTGCAATACGGGTTAGATTCTATACTCTAGTCTTTAGAAGTATTTATTTTTTGATTGGGACCGTCTCTTACCTTTAATTTGAATGCATCTTGGGAGGTATCTGTGCATTTGAGTTATTCTGCCGCATAGATGATGATCTTAGGGTTCTTTCATTTCAATTGTCTGTTTCTTTGGGGAGCAAATTTGATGCACTATGCCTATGATGACTTGGAGAGAAATCTGAACATTTAGGTATCATTACTTAGATGATTGTTAATATGTGCATTTGATGTTGTAGAATGGAACGAGCTTGTTTCATTTGTAGTAGGCAAGCATGGGAGTCTGCTTGTATAGCTGATGCATGTAACCATTTTCTCATGAGTGTGAAGAAAGAGAGCATATGTATGGTTGGAGGTCTGTTAAAAGAGATAGTATGTTCATCTGCAGGTTCTCAAAGGAACATCATTGGAAGAGCGGACAGTGGAAGATCGAAAAAGTAGGAAGTTTGTGAAGGTCAAGAGTTGCCTTGACCTTGCGCACCTAAATGTTTTGAAACTGGCAGGGTATCGAGGCCGTGCAACTGAGGATGAGTTTATCTCTTGTATTATAGAAAATGCTGCAGCACTGCATACCATCATCATCGACCTGAATTATCAGTCATCTGTGGATGCTTTTTTTGGAAGAAGGGAGGAGATTCACGAGGTAGAAGACTATGTAAGGCGACATGCCAAGGAGTGGCTTGAAGGGATCATACCAGCCCATATTCAGTTGATCATCGTTTAGTAATTCAAAGAAACTGTACCATGCTGCATTCACAACTTGGATTGGTCAAGTTAATAATTTTGGGTTATTGTTATTTACTTGCTTGTAATCCAACAATAATTACTTCTTGTTCATTATCTTGCAACCATAAAGAGAAGTTATGTTTCTCATGTAATCTTATGTATAAGTATAACCAAAGTCTTTTATATATTTGTTGCGATTTGATGATGACTCTAAAATCTATTCCCTGCTTGACATTGTTATAAGAACCGAACCGAATCAACGGCTGGGCCAATAGAATCACCAAACAAGTTACAATAACGCTCAGGTTCATTTTATTTTGACGGCAAGGGATGGACCGAATGATTTGTAACGGTTTGACATAAAACCAGGTGAATCACTTTAGTTTGATTGGTCTGTTGGTTGAGTATTTTAACCACAACTTGAACTAATTCAATTTCTGCTTTATTTTCTTTGTTTCCCGGCCTCCTGGTCGGCTTTATGTGATCCACTGCGGGATGCCACCCTAATTATTAACTTGAATATAATAAACGAATTTATTCTTTCTTTTTTGAAATAGTTTGAATGATTTGTTAGAACCTTGGGTGATAGATGATATGGATTTGAAACGGTTTATAATTAGTGATAAATACATGGCCTAAATTAGTGTATTATATAGCGTATGAAGGATTGTATCATCGGTTAACCAACGGTTCTATAACGGTTAATCGTTGAACTATTAACCACTAATTTTTGTGGTTCAGCATCTGGTTCAGTTTAGAAAACAGAGCTGCTTGTACATTCCCGTCTGTGACTTTTCTGAAGTCAGTCAGCCTGACTTGTTGCAATTTCACCCAAATAGATGGTCTCTGGATGTTCAGTTTCCTAATAGATAAGGAGTTGATGCAGAGTTGCAGTTACTCTTTAGCCTCTCAACTCGAGTCACATGGCCAAAACTACATGAAGCAATAAGAAATAGCTCTATCGCACAAGGTGGAAGATGAGTACAGATAGGATAAACCTGTCACAGAAAAGTCTATTACATTTGCACTGGATGATTCAATTTCTCAAACCAAGGCTGGAAGCATTTCTGCAGGAAACTACAGATCCAACAGTCATTCAAACTTCAACTCGTCATTGCTGCAAACTATTTACCGTCATGTATCAAGTACTACTCTCTAACAAACTATAAGAAGTTCAGATGTCCCCGTCCAAACAAATCACAGTGATATCACTTATACCCCATCAAGGCTATCAAGAAGGAACCAAGCAAGGCTCACATCTCCACTCCACTCTGCAAGGAAAAGCATTTCAGCACAAGGACAAAGCATCAACAAGCCCAAGCATTTCATCTCCGCTCCCAACGAGGCCCTCCAGAAGCAAGCTGCAGAAGTGCATTCACAAATATTCAGGCTACAATATTCAACCTAAACATATTCTCTACACAAAGAATGTCTATTACTGACGGCATTTCCATTGTTTGGATTAGGTACTCATGCTTAGGCTTGATGAAGTTCAATGTGCCAGCTTATGGTCCTAGCAAATCTAGACCAAAACTGGTAGCTACAGTAAACAAGTTTCAGAAAACAAACCAACACTCAAAAAGTGATATCCACCAAAAAGTTCTAAAAAGGGTCAACTAAAATAAACAAATAAATATCAGCTGCTTCATGGTTACCAAGGGAAATACCAGTGTACACAGGTCAAATAAATAGGAAAAGATAAGATTTTGGTTAAAGATCCTATTATTCGCATAATCTGCACCCTAAGCTCTATACAACAAATTCAACAAGCAGAAGGATATGCAAATTATTACAACAGGGTATCACTTGAAGGTCTTTCACATATACGTGAAGAACATCGGCATAGGTCATCAACTGTCAACAAACAACATCTTACTTCATCTCTATCAAACAAGCGGTATTCATCACCGTAAGATCCAAGGACAGGATTTTCATCTTCTTCCAGACCACCCAACTCCACTCTATTCCCGGCATGTTGACCAAAACAACAAGAGGACCTCAATTTCCACCTAAACATATTCACCACACTGAGGTCGTTTTTCATGAATGATTAAAGGTGGATACTGGAAATAGTAACACACCACCTGATAGGAACTGGACCTGGAACACACTCGAGCTAGCACAAACAAAACACTCATATACCTCAAACAATCATAGGAAAGACTATCTGATCTACAGAACAGTAAAGGACCTGTTAGCCAAACCCAATCTTTCTAAACAGCACAGTACACAATCTGATAGGTAGGATAACATTATCATAACCACATAGCTATTTCTTAACGTACAAAGGGAATAAGCAGCAACAAGAACCAAGTATAGCCATAATATTCTCCAGCATACCAAGAATACCAGTGCACAAGATTAAGGGTTTCACCTGAAGACCGAGCGCTCTAATCCGTCTCTGCAAATCCCCGATCTCAGCTGTAGAGCAATGCTTTGGCCTGATTCTGATCAGGCCATTGAATCCTTCTGCTCGCAAACCTTCCACCTCTTCATTACTAGCCACCACAATCACTTTCTGCCTTCGCAGAACCTTACTCAAATGATCAATTTCCTGAACCGTCCGTTTATCCACGTCCAACTCCAAGCTCTCTCCAGCAATCATCCAATTTATAAGGTCCCTGAGAAAAATCCTGGTACGAGGGAAAGCTTTTCCAAGACCATCAGGTAGCAGTGCTCGGTGACCAGCCGGAAGGATAAGGTCCATCGGATGCCGCTTCCCCAGCACTCTCTTGTTGCTGGGGGTGGAGGTCCGACGACGGCGCTTGCTAGTCCGCTGCGAAGCAGGCGAAGAAGTGCTGGAATCCTCTGGACTTGGACTGGACGAGTGAAGAGCCGCATCGGAGGGAGCAGTGGTGGTGAGGAGTGGAAGGACAGGCGGACCAGATGGAAAATCAACCTGACGATTCTCGCGACGGAGCGAGCCACCGTCGGCAACCACCGGCAGAATCACATCCGCGGCGACATTCTCCCTGCCTCGCTCAGTCAACCGCGGCATCACTTGGTCAAAACGTCTGTCGATGCCGTCCAGACGCACATTCATCGCAGCTAAATCAGAGGAGTGACCGTCGGCCTTGGTGATGAGAGCGAGCAGGTGCTGCTCGTGTTCAGTGCTCCGATCTTGCAGTTCGTGAAGGAGAGTGGAACTCTCGCGCGTCAGGTCGCCTATCGTCGTCAATCGATCGGCGATCGCCATAAGACGGTTGCTGAGCGCCTGGAGTTGTGCTTCCGTTGCCGCAGCTCTGTAAGTCAAAGAGAGGATCAAGTCTCTCGTTGGAGTCGCCATCTCGAGTGGAGTGAATGATTCTCGTCGGATTGTAGCAGATGTGGAGGTACAAGAATAAGAGAGAAAGAAAGAAAGAAAGAAAGAACGGAATTGGAAATTGGAATCCGAGAGTAAGAATGGAGAAGGAAGGGGAAGAAGAGAAGAGGCGCGAAATCTGTTATGGCTATGCCAGCTGTGTACAGTGCACGCGAGGTGTGATGACGGGTTTCAGCCTGGAAATTACCAACTAAACCCCATCTCTTCTTCAGTGAAGGGCTAATTAGTAATTACATAAATACCATTTAAACTCATAATCGGTTGCACCATTACCCTCTCCGTCAAATTTATTTTTTGGTTACATTTATATTATTTTTTTATAAAAATTATAAATACCATTACCCTTCCCCCAACCCTGCGCATCTTTCTCTTTCCTCCGATTGCTAAAATAATTATCGCCAACGGCCTACACCCCGCTAAGGCCCAATAGATAAAGCAAGTACAGTTGGCCCAAACTTATGTGGAAGGCTTAACCCCACTAAACCAATCAATGTCTCAACTTATGGATAAGACCCAACCCAAAACAGTCCGCCTAATATCCAGGAAAAAAACCAAAGCTGCAGAAAAAAAAAAAAAAAAAACACTTCAGACAATAATAACCACACCATGGTCCATCCATGGTTTATGAAACAGTACCGTATCAGATGTTGAACCACAATATTCTTGTATAATGACTAAATCGGTGAACGATATTTAACAATATAACGGTTGAACTAAAATTAAACCACAATTTCACCATAAAATACCACACTACTGACTTTTCCGATATGATATCCGATACGATTTCACAAACCTTGGGCCCATCCTCATCCCCAATTTCCCATCCAATCTTCAACAACGATGATGCCGTCATGGCTAATTCAAAGAATTCTAACAAAAATCAACCAACACAACTCCTCTTCAAACAAAAATTATTCAACATGATGCGACTGGACATCATCTTCATTGATGATAAGGTAACTTTCTCTGCCTTCCGAATCTTTTATCATTGACATTGATAGAGTGATTCTAACCTCAATACAAACTAAAACCTTTTGCCCATAAGATGGCATGATAGGCGCAAATATCCAAGAGACTCATCTACACATAATATAATACACCGAAGGGAAGAACGGGAGCCTCATTTCAAATTTCCTGCAACGAGAGTGAAAGTAGGAAGGACATTTTGGTCTTCACACTTACTTTTTTTAATTCATTAAAAAGACACGTAGTGTGATTCGAACCATGACCATTTTAAGGAAAAGTAAGGATCATAACCAATCACACTAAGTACAATTGTTGTATCTTTTTAAATTAAAAAAATATAATAGCAGAGAGGAAAAAACCATTCCCCCATTTCAAATTTCCTGCTCCAGGATCGTTTGTAGGAATGATAGAATAGGGAGTGTCAATTTTTTCCTCTTTCCTCTGTGGAACGGGCCAACTTACCGTACACATGCGGATTTAAACGGGTTCAAGAGTGTCAATTTTTTCATTAAACCCTTTTATTTCTCCGTGGTGATAAAATATATATGAAGAGGCAAAAACAATACTTCTTTTTATTGCTAAAAATAAAAAAATTAACAATAAACTAATGCATTGTATCTAATGGGCTAACCGCTAACCATAAAATAAAAGAGTTGAATTGGTTTGACCTACACGGGATTTGGCCATCAAGTAAAATAAATGAACATCATTGGTTTGACATTCTAAAACAAGCTATTTTCTCTGGCATAATATATTATGCTATTATTTTATATCTTAGTGGCTAAAATATAATGTATTTTAAAGTTATTCAATGGTTCAACCTCGACCAACCCAATTAGTCCAATTTTTATCATTTCAAATATATATTATATAATTATTTGATATCATAATGATCAAATCATAGTGTATTTTATAGGAAATCGTTTGGTATTTGTTAGTAAAAAACTAAACAGAAAGATCTATTTGGTTATTTTAAACATTAAGACGATCCTAACATTTTCAGTTCCTTTTGAATTTCTATGGTTTTATTCCCGAATAAGTGATGTGCAAATGGCAGTCATCTCTTTTCTTTCACTATTTTTTATTTTCAAATAAAAAGTTTAAAAGTAAAGAATAATTAGAATTTGGCATGGGTCGGTCAAACAGGCTGCATTTCAAGTTTTGGCCCCTTTTGATCAAGTCTAATTTATAATCACATGGTTCCCTGATACCCGATAAAAATCTCAATCCAAACCAGTTTGGCAGGTGAGTCCGTGTTTACCACCATTTTCTAGGGATACGACAACGACGGTTCCTATCCCAAATCGTGTTGTTCGTTCTTGATTTCCTTAGATTTTATCATGGCCTGAAAAAAACCAGAAAGCACAATGACGACAAGATGAAAGTTTTATAAACCAAATTAATCGGCCAACGGGTCGAGTAAAAGCTAGCAACGATTGTGATATGCTCATTTCCCGAAAATCGACAGGATAGGCGATTTTTTATTCGATTTTCTGGAATTCAGTTTCTATAAAACTTACTCCACCTCATCATATTACCAGAAACAATATTGTTTCACAAGGTAACAGGTACTTGATTTTGGTTCATAAGGCCGATTTTTGATTTGTTGCATCATTAATGTCTCTTTCCTGCTAAAATTCACTATTTTTATCACGTGTTTCCCAAAAAAACTATACAACAATAAGTTATACACCCCATTACTTTATCAAATTTCATACCTCACCTTCCTCTAGGGATGGCAACAAAACCCGAACCCACGGGTACCCACCCGACCCAACCCGGTCAACGCGGGTAAAATCCGTGTTGCCGGGTTTTGGGCCTGGTTTGGGTTTAAACCCGTTCAATATTCATCGGGTTGGGTTGGGTTTGGGTTTAGGTAAACCCGACCTATGGGTACCCGCCCACACCCATATAATTAATTTTCTCGATATATTTAATATTCTAAACAACTTATCTTATTTATGTTTGTGGAGACATGTCTAATTTTTTCTTTCTAATTGTGTAGAATGAAGTTGATGTTATCGAGTGGAGAGTGAAGAAACTTAATTGAAAGGAAGAAGCTTTCAATTAATCATGTTATTTATGGATAATTTGTTATTTGCTTGAATTTTCTAGAATGGTATTTTATATATGGATAATTTGTATTGAGAGATTGATATTTGACTTTAATTTTGATAGGAACTTGTTATTGTAAATTTTTTAAGACAAAAACCTGTGGGTACCCATGAACCCGCAGATACCCAGGGGGTTGAGTTGGGTTTAAGTTTTTCAAACTCAGTGGATTTTACCCCGAATTTTTTTCACGGATAAACCCATGAATTTGAATTTGAATTTGGCAAAACCCGACCCATTGCCATCCTACCTTCCTCCGGCCAACTGGCCGGGGCCCACACTAGTTAACATAATACCAACCAAGCCTTCAAGAATAGAGAATACTGTGGGGAAAAAAAAAACCAAGGGAGGCTACCATCCAACTCAACTTCATAAAAGGTATATGTGAAACTGCTAAACTCATTTAGAAAATTTTCGAGATTTTTACATATGTGCATAGCTAGAAATTCAGAAGTAGTCTATTTTTGTCCATAAGTTTAAGATACTATGAATTATAATGAAGAATACGAGTATAATAAGTTAATTCAATAAAACTGCATACTATATGCTTACAACCATTATATACACAAGTCAAACATAAAACTTTTATTTTGAAGTTCACACAAATGTTTGACGTTGTTCATGTCTTATTCAAACTAATTTTCTCTATTCGATAGTCTATCTATCTATATCTATAATCTGAAGTTCTTAATCAATAAACTTCATAAATCATATTAATTTTACTATAACAAAATTTTACTATCATATTATCAAATGTTTTAAACGTTATTTCTATTTGTTGTTTTCTATATTTTCACTTCACCAACAAAATCTATATTGAATCAAAATTTGTAAGAATTTAGAATGGATCTAATGACATGAACATAAATTTTATAATTTCGAATAATTTACATCACACCAAATGCCTAACTAGTCGAGAACAAAATTAGTTGGTTATTAGAAAGCTTTTAAGGTCATTTTCTAAGTTATCGACCATGGCACACCAAGAACAGTCTTCTAAAGTCATACTCATACGTGGATAGTTTTGCACACCTATTAACTGAAGCCAATGACTTGGTTAAAGTAATATTTGTCTCGTAATTTTAACTCTTTTTTTTGTGAGAAGTAATTTTGACTTTAAATACTGCGTTTTTGGCTGAAAAGTTACTTGTAATGTAATATTTTATAGGTTTAATTCACCTACGTAGCAATAACTTTCACGATTTTGACAAATATAGCCACTTTTTGAAAAATACACTGATATAGCCACATTTTGAAAACTCGTTTGACATAATTAACCATTTCCGTTAAAAGTTTTAACACCGTTAACATGACACTGACGCGGATGGCACCTGAGCTTCCACATCAGCTCCAACACCAAATCATGCCATCTAACTGCCACATCATATTTAAATTAAATTAAAATTTTATCTTTCTTTTTTCACTTTCCTCCTCGAGCTCTCCTTCTTCCATCTTTTCCCTTCCCCATCGGCGGCCTCATCGTCCCCCGTCGGCGCCACCAGAGCTTCTCCACTGCACTCAAATCAAATCCGAAGTTTCGCTAAGGTGATCTCTTGATAACCTCAATAAATCTTAATTGATCTCCAAATCTTCATCCCATTTTTGATTTTGACAAGTTTGAAACTGGGTTCGTCTCCGACTTTGTTAATCTTTCCCCCTTTTCTTCCTGCAGACGAAGCTCGATGAAGATGAGCCGCCCGTGGAAGGTCTAAGATGTAGCTCGATGACCTCGCCCCAATTAGAACTTCGACCACCCAATCGAATAAATCTCCGCCCTCTCCAATGCATTCACATCTTCCCTAAATCCCCGATCTGTCCTTTTCTATTGTTGATGTCGTTGTTCTCCCCAACCTCATTCTCTTCCGTCTCTCCCTCCTCTCCTCACTCTCCAACTCCTCATCCCCACCACTGATACGGCTGTGGCCACCACCAACACCGCCGTCAGCATCTGTATTTTCCTCCTTTTCTTCCTTCCCATACCCTAATCTCAGGATCCGACCACCTAGATTGGTACCCAACATCTCGAAATTGGGGAGAGGGATAGACAAATCAGGGAAGAGGGAGAGGAGCATAGTCATTAGAGAGGGAGACAAGTAAATCAGGTGGATGAGGGATTGTTGGGAGGGTTGGCTCTCACTCTATCTTTAGTCGATCTCTCGAAACCCCATCTCCCCCAATTCTCTAAATATTCCTCTGATGGCTCTTATTTACTCTGCTATGGGCTTGTTTCTCGTTAGTGCGATTCAGGGGAAGCTCGACAGAATAGGGTAAATCAGTTGTGAAAGGATGTGATTTGATATTTTGGGATTTTCAATGGCCGTTGAAAGGATTAGAGAACCAGATCCATGTCGCGGCTCCTCCTCATCCTTCGAGTTTGCTGATGATGACGGCGGAGAGGAAGAAACGAGAAAGAAAACTAGGAAGAGGGAAGGGTTTTGCGAGGAAAGTGATTGATTTTTCTCTCCCTTTTTACTTTTTTTTAATTTCTTTATTTATTAATTAAAAATAATATGAATGTTTTCCACGTGGCAAGGACGCAAATTAAAACACGCCACATCAGCCGCTGCCGTTAGTCCAGTCAACGGGTTAAGTGATCCGTCAAAGAATTGGACGGAATTGGCTATATCTGCGTATTTTTCAAAAAGTGGCTATATTTGTCAAAATCGTGAAAATTATGGCTACGCAGGTGAATTAAATAACAGAAAGTTGAAAATATCAATATCCTCTTTTAAAAAACCTATCCATCTTTCCAGTTTCCACCACTTCCCGACCTTCTTTCGACCAGTTTCCCCTCATCATTCAAAAACCTCTTTCTCCTCATAATTAGCAATGCAACTCGGTTCGGGCCAAATTTTGGTTTGGTCCGGTCTTGAATCGGACCATTACACATCCCTAAATGCAAGTCTTTATGAGCTTGCTTGGGATGTTACTTGGATGAGTTATTTGGATCTAAACAATTAGTTTGACGATACTTTACCCCGATTAGTTACTTGGACAGTGGGTTATTTGAAATAATTTCTACCTCGTATTATTTTAAAATTACTTGTGTTTATCTCTTTGTCATCATCGAATACCACATGTGAATGATTCAGCCGAATGAAATATTTTATATTTAAAACTCATTGATAAGAATAGTCTAAGATACGCCCACCAAGAATGAAAGGGTTCCTCAAAGAAAAATTCCTATCGGACTAGCATGAACTGACATAAAGTTTGTCAATTGATACATCATATAACTTGATTTTATCCAATCCATGACATCTACGTATCTCCAAATGTTTTAAGGAGTCTTTGTGAACCTTTGATTCCGGAAATGATGTATTAGAAGAATGTGTATATTAAGATTTAAGAATGTGTTGGTTTGAAAAATGTTTGGTTTGAAATACATAAAAGAATGCACAAATTATAAATGAAATAAACATTCTCCAAACCAAAAATACATGTATACTCAAAATACAACGTTTAGAATTGGAACCTTCGACGTTCCAATCAAGCCTAAATTCAACGAAAGACCAACAAGTTTTGAAGGGGTTCTTCGATATGTTGAATAGTCAACGTTCAAAAACACGACAGTTTGATAGAGCTGGTCCATAATACTTGCAATAACTGAGTACTACATACGAAATCTAACTAAGATGAAGTAGAACCAGAAAATAGGAATTGAATAAAACCTAAAGGTACCATTCAATGACACAAGTGGAGTGCCTTGCAAAACCAGTTATCTTGTTTGATTTAAAGAAGCTCGTTTATCACACAATCAAAACTCTCAAGTACAAACCTTTCCAGAACAAATGTCTCGAACCAAAATTCCAGCTGACAACAAAAGATAGATTCTAAAACACTGTTGGCTTAGAACACAAGCTCATGAGGCTTCATCCCAGCCTTCAAAGAGAACCTGGCAGCCAAGTACGACTTCAAATCTGGTACTGCCTCAATCGATTTAATCAATGCTGCATCAACGGTCTTCTGGTCGTCCTTCTTGTCTTGAGGCAGCTCGTTCTTCTCCTGTTAAGAAGGAGAAAACAAGATTAGGAACTATATGAAAAAACTACCATCATTTGTTGAGAGGACATAAATTAGAAAGCTAGCTACCTCTTTGTCTGCCTCAAAGAACTCTCCCTCTCCCTTCTTGTTCTTCTTCTCCGCAGCCTTGGCAAAGTACTTGTCATCGAACTTGTCAACATTGACACCAGAGATATCAACCTTGGTAGAGGTTCCAATGACATAGGCCTGGTTCACACGCCTGAGAGGGACACCATTAACCTTGAATGGGCCTGCAGAAGATCACAACCCAGGTTACAATCCAACATCAAACCAATACACCAAAGAGAAACACGTACTATGACATGCAACAGACAAGAAACCAGTCGAAAGCACCCAATCAAGGATACAAATTCCACTCTTAATAAACACTCCGGAATTCGTACACATTGTTGAACATATATAGTAAAGTTGAACATATGATTCTAACCATACTGAACAAAGTTGACAAACTCACAACAAGCAGCAATGAAAACAGAACCTAGCAGCTGTGAAAGAAAGCAATACCATCTCATATACCAACAAGCAATTGGACAAAAGAAAAAATCTAAAACAGCAACGAAAGGTACTGACCAGTGACCAAAAGCAACCCAGAAGTTAGCTGCTTAAGGAACACAACTCTCTTGCCCTTAAACCTTCCAGCAAGGATAATCAGAACAGTCCCAGGAGTAATGCTAGCCCTGCAACAGCAAAAGCCAATGAGAAATTTAACAAATTTAGTAACCCATTACACAAAGCAGGCAAATAGTCAAATAAACCGCATTTTACAGAGAACACACCCCAAAAATCAACTAGCAGTACTGAAGCCGGAAACTTGAACAGAATTGAAACGCAGATAAATTTCCATAACACGAAGATAAACACAAATGAAATAAAGCAGATCTAAACGCGACTAAAAATCAGCAAACCAGATCGAGAGACCTAAATAGTTCTTACATCCAAACAGTCAAAGCCGAAAAGAATACCTGAGCTTGGTGGGTTTAGCCTTGCGCTTGTTGGGAAGCGGCACCTTGATATCGTCGGCCGGGTAAAACTTGGACACCTTCTCCGCGGTAGAGGCGGCCTTCGGTTTAGGATCGTGCTTGGGGAAAACGCCGCCATTTTTGGCCTTGATCGCCCAGAGACCACGCTTGTGGTACATCTTGGACCTGGAGTACTTGCCAACTCCCCTGATGAGCTGCGGGTTCCTGGAAACGACGGGAGTCTTCCTCGGTGCCATTGCTGCAAAACCCTTTTCGTCACTCTCCTCCGCCTGTTGTTTCTCTCGCTCGAAGATATGAAGCCGCCAGCCAAAAAACCAACAGCCAGGAAGCAATATATGTAACGGAGTCGGGGGAAACCTAAAACCCTACCCATAAGCAAATGGGCTCGGATTAATGGGCTAGCCCATATTTTAATTAAGCTAGATAATTTCTGAGCCTATTGGGCCATCCTGGAATGAAACAAAATTAGGCACAAAATCAAAGTTAACAGAACTTAGCTGATTATTATGTGTAGTGTAATTACTAATCAGTAATCAGAATATAATTAGGACTGTGAAACTAACCCTTTGAATTGATCGGGATCAAATCTAAGGTTCCGTTCCATTCCATTCATCCATCCGTTTGTATTTAAAGAATAAGCAAAGGAAACAACAACTAGTGCATTGATTCGATTCAGTTTAACCCGAATGTGAAGTCAATTAACAGTAGTAATGTACTTCACCCGAATGGCAACTCGATGAACCATCTGGACTGGATTCAGCCGCGAATTATGACAAACAAAAACCGACTCTTGTTACACCAAACTGAGAAATTCCACTCGCTCTTTTACAGAAATCAAACACAAACTATTACACTTTTACAATGTACTGAGGAACAGCGTTGTGGCAATCCCCCTCAACTGTTGTTGCTGTACAAAGTCAAGCACCTACTACAAGAAATACTAAACCATTCACCACTTTCATGAACAACAGCAACGCGCCAGGGTTAGAAAATTACAAGCTAAGTAACACATAAACAAAGATGAGAACAACAACGACAACAATAACATGCTAACTATGACTACAACGACGAGGATGATTGACTAAACAGCTGGCTAACCTGAGGTAAATTACAGGAGGTAGAGGGCACTAAAATTTCTATGTAAGCTAGGTGAGGGATGCCCTAATGCAGTAAATTATTTTACTTTACAGTTTTCTTATGATCTGATAAAACAGGTCCCCAACTAGATGATACCTCCCTAAGAAGTTTATTACTCTCTTCTTTACATCCATTCAATTGCCACTCTTTTCTACCTCCATCTACACCACCACCACCACCACCAGCAGCTAAGGTACAATAACCAACCAAATTGCTGAAGCAAAGTACCAACTGTTCATTCTGCTCAGGTCAATAACCCGTCCCTGCCTCTCCTGCTTCAGCTTGCTCGCTTTGACGCTGACTTCTTCCCAACCTTATCCTTCCACAAGCTCTGCAAATTACAAAGTATCCTAAGTTAGACAACCCTGATGTACTAAAAATGCCTGGAAATAAAGTGATAGGAAGGCGAGAAGACTATACAAGAGGCTCATCATCCAAAAGTTCAGGACTTTTTGGATCGGTTTGATCCATGTCGACATGGCCAGAATCTTCATTCTCTTCTGAATCTAATTCCTCTCCTTCGTCCGATTGCTCTTCTTCCTTCTTCTCTTCTTCTGAATGAGATCCTTCAACGTCAGAATCACTCTTCTCCACTTCATGTTTCTCACTTTCCTCCTCACCAGCATTCACTTCTTCGTGCTTTTCACTTTTGATATCACCAGAATCTCTGACTTCAGGACTTTGTGCTCCTTCTCCAGCATTGTCGGAATGATTGGACTTATTCTCCACGTCATCATCCTCCGAGTGTTTGACGGGGGGAGTTGACATATTTTCTTCGTCGGATTCCTCGTCCACTGTTAGAGTCTGTGTTTTTTCTTCCTTGTGTTCAACGCGAGAGTCGTCTGTAAGAGGGAGCAAGATTTCATTAGTCCTTAGTACTATCAAAGTGAACCCAGAGTAGATCAAGTCAAATGGGACCGTTGACAGTACCAGATTTTGTCTCTTCGTCATCAGAAGGCGGGGCAAGTTCTGCCTCAGATGCATCAGAATGCTCACTCTCTTCTGGCTCTTTCAGGACTCGTTTGGAGTTTTTCTTTGGTGTTCTTTTGCCCTTAGCTCTACAAGAAGAAAAAACAGACAGAATATGGTCACCTCAGCACCACAAAAAAGAAAATCAAACATCGAAAGGAAAGGTAAATTACAGCAGGAGTTCCGCAATATCTAAAAGCATACATCTTTGTGGAGTTTTTCTTGTTCTGCTGCGAACCACCTCTACTCCTTTTCTTTGGTCTGGGCGACCTGTAAAGGCCATCCACAGAAATGAAAAAGAATCTCAGCTATTTTCACTCTAGTTGGTTTTTCATCTGACATATCCATCAGAAATTATACTTACTCTTCCTTAGAAAGGGCACGCTTAGATGAACTCAACTTCTGCAAAGAAAAACACCATTATAACAATTAATTGTGAAACTGGAGTAAAAAGCAAATAATCTTTACTAGGAGCGTAGAAGACCTTTGTGGTATTTCGGCCCTTCTCAATCAGTTCCCAACGCTCCCTATCTAAACGAAGAACTTCGATATCACCATCATCGTATAGAATCTATGCAAATTCAGGAACCAAGAATTTCATCAAGCACTGGTCATAAGATATATACTATAATTCACAATCTTCAAGGGCAGAGAGAGGGGTGCAGCGTACCACATTCTTCCCCTTTAAAGGGTCATAAGACTTGACCGTGCCTGTATAGAACCTGTAATGTTTGCAATAATCATATCCGTGTCCTCACAAAACATATTCAGTACTTCTGAAATCTATAAAGTGCGGCAGCAACTGAGAGTACAGCTGCGCTCACCAACTACACAGTTGCAGGTCAAACTAAAAGAGGGAAACACGAATCTTTTAAGAAAATAACTAGAAGAAATGCTGTGGAGTTCATCGATGGAAATACTAACTGTTAAAGGAATACCACTTTCTCCAAAAGGTCAAAAGAGTGTACTTACTGCTTATCCATTGGCCACCAGATCTTTATTCTATGACCAATCAATTCGTCAAAGTCCATTTCATCATTCTTCTTTGCAGACTGGAATAGCAAAATTGAGATGTATTAAGTATTAACGCTAGACGCTTATACTAAAAGGGCAAGAATCCAGGTATAAACCAGAGGAGGAACAGTTGGCACATGAGAACCACTACCGTTGACCAAAATATAAAATGTAAGCAGAGAGTGAATACAGAAGAAAACGTAACAGGTTGCAGAAAAAAGTGTGATCATAAAATGTTAAATAGAAACCGTGAGTTTCAGAACTTAATTAAGGAACTCATAAATCAAGATGGCAGTTAATTGATCTTCACAAGAGTCAACCTTTGTCATTCCTGAAGAACTTTTTCTTTTCCGATTCTTCGCAGATCCGGTTAAAGACTTTGTATTATCCGCTTTCTTGTTCTTACCAGCCTCTACATGATAGCTTGGGCTCTGCAGCAGAAATTAACATTGCATAAAATCCATATATCAGCATAGAGCGTTCATATAAAACACGTGCCTATTTGCATATTGAGGAACAACAGAGTTTACCATCAGATTTTCTTCATCAGAATCTTTAGCTTCATGCTCGCTACTGCTGTCATCCTTATCAGCCTTTTTGAATTCCTTCTTTGGTATCGAATTTCTGCTCTTTCTAATGCATGATACCAAAAAGTCAGAGTCCCCACTTTTACCCATCTTTCTTGGAAAAGAAACCTTGTTCTTAAAATCAGGGCTCGAGTCTTCCACTAAAACTCGTGAAGGAGTCTTCATGGGACTCTGGGATAATCTAACAGCCGCTGACCTTCGGCGCTTAGGTACTGGGACAGATTCTACCTCAAGTGCTTTTCTCTTCTCCACTTTTTGTTCTGATGGCGATTTCGACTTCTCAATTGGAGCATGCTCATGACCGTTGCTTGACTCAAACTTTCCAGATGGTACCACAGCATCCACATTTATTTCCCGTACCATACTCAAAATATCAAAATCATTTACTGCACTTTTGGTTTTAGCTGATGAAGACTTCCCTTTCTTAGACCTCCCACATTTTGCACCTTTGCCCTTCAACTGTTTTAACATCTCACCAAGTGGCTCTTCATTTTCTTCTATGTTGCTGTCTTTTTGAACTTCCTCCCCAGGGGTAGTTGGGGGTGGAACCTGTTTCTATGGAAGAAAAGGAGAATACAATATTAGCAAACCACCTAGTTACTAAAGAAAAAGCTTTATCTTCTTGCAAGGTAAATAAATAGACTGGCAACAGAAAACCGTACTGTTTTATTGGTTTCTAACTCAAGTGACTGAAAATGAGTTATGACACTCTCATCAGCCAACCATGTCTTCTCTTCATTTGCCTATGAAAGACATGAAAGGCAGAAAAGATCATGAGATCACACTTGTGGATAAAATATGGATAAACCAAATGATGGAACTGAGACACAAAAGGAACAACAAAAGAATAAATCTAAAGGTTGAGGCCAAATAAGATACCTTGGAGTCATCTTCCTTCTTCTCAGATGGTTTGTACAGCAATGAAGGCAGGGTAACCGCCAAAGCAAACATATGTAGGTCATCCTCTTTTGGAGCTAAGCGCTTGACTATCATCAACCCAAGTTCACAAACAGCATGTGAATTCTGTGTATTATAATAGCAAGGTGAGTGAGATTGCTATTCTACATTTCTCAAACTAAGTTGTTATCTACATCTGATGGACATTCTGTTCAGTACCCCCTCAAAGACTTCTACAGATAGTTATATCTCTACATAACCAAATATGGTGAGGATCTGTAATAGGATATTGCTAAATGTGGATGCCTCTGTTACCTTTGTTTTTGCCATATCCACAAGATCTTCTGAGCTCTTAATAGCCTTAAACAAAGAGGTGATCACAGAAACACTCTCCTTCTCCTTGGTCCCAGTCTCTGACTTGGCTTCTTCCTCTTTGTGCATGAGCAAGGAAAGAAACAAGTATAGTTGGCTGTAAAAATGCAATTGTGCTTTTAGTTTCACTTACCAGTTCAAACAGTAAAGAAATGTATCTGTCTGACGACACTAAGCATATAGGACACAAGCAAAGAAATCAAAGGGGAAAATGGGCGTACCGGTATATTGGCTCAAACGCTTTAACATCTTTGCATTCATCTACATCAGGACATGATATATGGGCAAGTGAATGGACCACATGTGGCAAAATGTATTCAGGAAACGCGGTCAAGGGACTTGCATCATTTTGTAAGGTCATTTGGCGTGCCTTTGCTTGGTAATGCATTTGAATAATATCAACAAGATTTTGCTTTTCCTGCAATATCATGCCACATGCAAGTTCAAAACAAGTAGTTTGTGAGAGCATCAATAATGTAAAACCACATAACTAGCAACCAATAAGAGGTTGAGCCATAAATACCTCTTCCAAATCAAGCTGCTCAGGTTCTACCGAATTCAACAAGAACGCACAAGCATACTTTGCATCAACAAGGCGATCCTTTATATATTGATG